GCACGCGCCCTAACCTCTCCAAAAAAAAAAAAAATGATCGAAGGTACTAGAGTCATCCCTAGATCAAAGAAAATATTAAGAATCCAAAAAGGTTAAACAACCTGCCCAAGGTCGTGGCTTGGTTAAGTGCCTTGACCCCAGGCAGCACGTAACCTGTGCTTGGCTGGCTCCTGGGACCCCCAAGCCTCTGCTGGGCTGGCAGTGCTCGGCAGGAGGCAGGGGGAGGGGATCTCCTGGCTCAGACCCTAATCCCAGGAAATAACCTTCCCCAGCCTTGCAGGGTGACACCGTGAACAGTAGCCTAGACTGAGCCAAAGTCCAGGCTGAATCTGCAGCCACCAGCCTGCCCGGCCCAGCACTGGCCACAGCCCAGGCAGCTCCACCATCTCCCTGGGTCCACTCGGCCCACGGTCTGCTGTGAGTGAGAGAATCTCACGGCCATCAGCTCCGTCCTAGGAGAGGATGTGCATGGGGAGCCACCACCACCTCCTCCCCCAAGCCTGCACCCCCGCAGTGCACAGAGCCATGGCTCCTGCTTGTCCCTCTCCATCTGGCCTCAGTCACTTCAATAATTCATCACCATTTTGTTAACAACAGGAAACGTGTCCCATGGCGCTGGATGAGAATAAACTGGAGCTCCTGCCATGGGCACCCCTTCTAGCACCCCCTCTTCCCTGGGTCTTTTCCCCGGCCTTCCTGCCCTCCTCCTGGAAGTCAGCTCAATGGGCTTAGATCCCCCTTCAGTGGCTAGGGGGCCAAGGACACTGAAGACGCAGGAGGAGAGAGAGGGGTGCTGCTGGAATGAGGTGTTTCGGTTAATGCCTTCCCTCACTCACCCAGTCAGCTGCGTGTGAGTCTCCCCCAGGGCCCAGCACTCATTCCTGACCCTAACTGTCCTATGTCCCCTCGTCTTCTCACTTCTTCACAAAAGAACAATTTGCCCAACTTCCCATGTGAGGAACCCCGGTCTGCCACACATAGAAGCTGGGGAAAGTGGGGGCTTGGGACGAGGCCAGGAGTTTTCTGGCTCCTATCCAGTGTTCTCAGGGGTTCCTCAGCCTGGGGTGTGGGGGTGCCCTGGAATCACCTGGAAGGTGTTTAGTCGATCCAGATACTCACACTCCATCCCAGACATTAAGAATGAGACTCTCCAGTCAACTCTGGTGTGCAGTCAGGATAGAGAACCCCCAGCGTCAGATTCCAGGGCTGGGCCGGCCCTGCAGTGCAGTGGTTGGGTGCTGCATTGGGGGAGCCGACCTTCGAATCCCAGTCTTGGCAGCTTGAAAAACGTACCGGGTGCATGTGTGTGCACGCCCCCGATCCTGACCAGATGGAGAAACGGAGGACGAGATGGTGGCATGACACACCCCATTGAGGGATTCTTTCTCTCTCTCAGGAGCACATGTGCACTATGGCAATAACATTTTTAAAGTTTGTGGCTAAATGGAATTAAAGTCCAAATTTATTTTTAAAAAATGTCTAG